AATCTCGGTATAACGGATTTTTGAAATTTTTGTTCTAATTGCCCAAATTATCCGCTATACCGAGACTCACTGTGTAATTAACTTTATTTATTTTCCTTTTTAATTAAATTAAATTAAATTGTAATATTTAACTATAACAACCCCTTTAAAAATTTATCTGAATTAAATTCAGTCTTCATTTTTATTTATTATTTTCGATCTATAAACTTTTTACCATCTATCATCCATGTAACTAACCCTGTATGACCTTGTAAATTCATCTATTCATAATAAAAAAAATTAAAATTATCGTGTTAAACTGCGTACTTTTGATTATATTATCAATTGTGTCATCACCGCTAGTCTAGCCACTAGTCTAATAGTTGTGAAGCATACTTATTTGTACCATTTCTATTACAAGTTGGACATTTATCATGTCTTTAAAGGTTTGGTATTATAAATATGATTGGTTGTGATTATCTATATTCATTTCTTTCTTCAATATTACCACGTGCTAAATTGTGAAACCAAATCAAACCAATCAAAAATTTACAAAACATTCACGTAAAATAACAACACTTTTTCCTATGCGTCAAAATGGTCAAAATGAATGAATATGAGAGAAAACGTCAAGAAAACATCGAGGCTAATCAGAAAATATTACGTGAAATGGGTCTTGAGAGACCACTATCGTTTTCTTTGCAAAAACCACCGCCAACACCAAAAAAACAACCTCCTACTCAAAAAACTAATAAAAGAAAACGCTATGCAGGAGTTGAAAAAAATAGAATCGTGAGGTCTTTAAGAACAAGAACAATCACTATTGAAAATTTAGGGTCAGCAGGTGGTCTAAGAAGATCCAATAGATTGGCAAATAAGGTATATCCATATAATATGAATAAAAATATATATGGGTGGTTTCTAGCAAAAGAACGCTAGTGTATAATACCTCCTTTTTACCTCCTATATACATACATACATATATATATATACGCACAATCTAAATAAATATCTCTTAAACAATTAAGCCAACAAAATCTTTTACGGACGAATGTTCCGATGAAGATAGTAATGATGAATATAGTAGTAATGAAGAAGATAGTGATGAATATGAAGCAAGACCTAGAAAAATTTATCGTCCAAAACCTCCATTAAATCCAAATTGGCGTGAAACACGACCTGATCCAAAACAATTCGGTGAAATTCCTAACGTTCCAGTTGGTACTTGGTGGTTCACTCGTATGGAATGTTGTCATGCAGGAGTCCATGGGTGAGTGGCTTGATAAAATTGAAATGCTATGAATTTAATATAAATAAATAAATAAATAAATAGTTAGATTATAGATTAATGTTTTTATTGCAATATTCAAAATAGACCGCCTGTTGCTGGTATTGCTTATTATAGTGAAGGGGCAACAAGTGTTGCATTGTCTGGCGTGAGTTATTGCTAATTATTTTTTCTTTTATTTTTTGGAAAATTTATATTTAAATATAATTAAATATAACTTTTATTTAGGGATATGAAGATGACGTTGAGTGGGGTTGATAAATTTAATATATATTTAACATAAAAAAATTTTTTTTTTATCGTACTATATATATATGTTTATAAATGCGTATGACTGATTTTAGGTGAAGCTTTTACTTATACCGGATCTGGTGGTAGAGACTTGAGAGGAACCGCAGATAATCCTAAAAATTTAAGAACCGCTCCTCAGGTATTATTTTCATGTTAAGAAAATCTTTTTTAATAACTATTCAATTAAATTTTTTCTTTTTTTAAATTATAGTCAAAAGATCAAACTTTAACTTGTGGAAACCTTGCTTTGAAAATTTCGTTTGAAACTAAAAAACCAATTAGGGTCATTAGGTAATTTTATATGATTACCTAATTATATTAATATAAATAATTTTCATATATATATCTTTAAAATATTTTTATAAATCTATTAGAGGTTATAAATTAAATAATCAGTATGCACCAAGTGAAGGGTAAGTATAATAAATAATAATATTATTATTGGTATTCAATACGATATAAAAAATTTTTATATTTACTTTTTTTTTTTTTTTTTTTGATATATAGCTATCGTTATGATGGTTTATATAGAGTTGAAAGATGGTGGGAAGAAGTAGGAGTGTCTGGTTTCAAGGTTTACAAGTATGCTTTCAAAAGATTACCAGGTCAAAAACCATTAACAATTAAATAATTAATTGGGGTAAAAATTAAAATGTAAAAAAAATCCGTCAGTTGATGGATGATGATATTTAATAAAGACAACATTTTTGTATTGCAACTTTATTCTTTTTATGTATGTATATGAAAATATTAAAAGGTTTCAAATGTTTCTTGAAAACTTTTACATGTTATAATAATTTTGGTGTGGGCCGGGTGTTTGGATACAAAATTCTAATTGGTACATGGAGATTGAGTATTTTTAATTTATTACCAATAAGAAAGAAATGAATACCGAAAGGATAATAAAGTACTCGATGAAAGAACAGATGCAATAACATGTAGAGCATTATACTTTAATTCCTATTGCTTCAATGATAAATACATTGTATATTATACCAAAATTTAGTAAATTAGAATTTACTTTGTAAATAACTATTAAATACTATTAAATACTACTAAATAATTAAATGCTTTTTAAATAGTAAATTTAAATGCTTGATTAATACATATATCTTTATACTAATTAATAAATATTAAATTAAAAGTATTTTTTTAAAAAATATTTATAAAGTATTTAAATTTAATGTTTAAAGTATATTACGTTAATATAAAATTTAAGTATTTATCAGTTCCTGCAGAACTGGTAAAAAATATATTTTCATGTCTATTAACAGCTATATCACAAACCAATTGTTGTTTTCTTGTTAAAGCTTTTGATTGCCCTTCTTGTTCTTGTTCTTCTTGCTCTTGTTGTTCTTGTTGTTCTTCTTCTTGTCGTTGTTCTTCTTGTTGTTGTTGTTCTTCTTCTTCTTGTTGGTTTTCTTCTTGTTGTTGTTCTCCTTCTTATTGTTGTTCTTCTTCTTGTTGATTTTCTTCTTCTTCTTGTTGTTTCCCTCATCTTCAGTTATAATAGTCTTCAGCAATCTTGAATTAAATCTTCATTCTGTTTGCAGATATATACAATGTCATCAGATGACTAAATGCAATTAAGAAAAATCAAACTTTGTTAATACTGACTCAGGTGTAAACATGTTGGTAAGTTATTCGTGATCTTAAACATTGGAGATTGTTACTCTATGTGTCGATGTATATGATGGCTTGTTAGATGTATAACTTAAGATTAGCTTTTGTTGTAAGGAATATGAAGTTTCTTTAAGATGATGGAGACCTGTTTTTTCAAACTCTATCAATCCTTCTTTCTGAAAACCGAAAATAAAGTTAGAAAAATTTTTTTTTTAACTCAAGATATATCCGTAAAGACAACCTACCCATTGTAATTGGGATTTTTTATCAACTATCTCAGATTCCTTGATGATATCTTGCATATTCCAAAAGAGTGTTTAATTGTCACAATACAAAAGAAGGGTTAAGTTTTAATTGATGAGATAAAGAAAGAAAAATCATTAAATTTTGTTGCTGAGGTTGTGCACAAAATTTAAATTAAATGTTGCCAGTTCTTAAAGATACCACGAAAAAGATAACAGAGTTTATCATCCTGTAGGCTTCTGATTTACTATACCAACTGGAAAACTTGCTGCCCTATAAAATTTTTTTCAGAAAATGTATGGAATTATACATGAAAAGAGTGCTTTTCCATACATATTTGTCCTGAAAATACATTCTGTACATTTTCCATGAAATTCATATGGATGTTAAGCATGGAAAATGTATGGAAAATGCACAGGAAAATGCATAGGAAAATGTACAGAAAGTATTTTCAGGACATTTTCAGGACAAATATGTACAGAAAAGTGTATAATTCTTTACATATTCCATACAAAATACATGGAAAGTGTATGGAAAAAACATACATTTTCTGAAAAAAATGTTATAGGGAGACCATGCATAAATGAAACTTTTAATAATGCATGTCTACCCAGATCTCTGGGATTCACAAAAATAAAAATAAATAGGATGATCAAAAAAATATTATAGTTCCTTATGAATAATAAATCTGATGTTGATCACAAACATGCATTAAAATGCTTTCACATACCTCATAACTGTGGATTGTTTCCACAAGTGAGGCCATACACATGTTGGAAGGCTTTGGACAAAACTTCACTTATTCCTCTCAGACCAGGCTTACCATGTGGCATTGATCACTGATAGCTAGTGCTTGTGTGAAGTTTACTTTGTGTTATACCTCTCTAGAATAGTCAGTGTTAAGACTTTTCAAATTTCTCCAACTCAGGAGATTGTAACTTGGGTTGCTGTTTGAATTTTCCCTGGATTCAGAGTTTGAATCCTGGGTTACTGTCTTATTGGTCTCACCAACAACCCTACCCCCATTTATTTAAATAGCAAATTCAGTTGGTCAAATAAAATTAAAGAAACAGAGAATTTGTGAAAATGGTTAATTTATAACATACCAACCAAACAAAGTCTGAGCCATTTTTATTTTACAGCTTTCACCTTGATGCCGCAATTATGGTGACCATTACAATAGGAGTGAGCGGAATTGAACTGCAATATTTATACTTGTGAGATACATGCTCTCATTGAGCCACAATCTTTTATTTTAGGGTGGATTATATGGGCAAAAGCCCCATTTGGTCAAATAAAAATCAAAAGAAACAGAAAATTTATGGGAATACTAAAATCCAAACCTTTTTCTTGTTGGCCATGTTGCTGACAAAGATGTATATAAACATGTGATAATTTTAATTTACAGGATTGGCAAAACCCCATTCAGTCCCCTATCCAAAATTATAAACTAAAGGATATAATAAAACTAAAAATTTTTAATTTTCTTTATGGATCAATTTTGTTGGAATGTTCTAATTGATTCCAATATTCCAATTGCACATCACTGCCCCTAGGTATTACTACTTCTTTACAGGTCGACCAATCCTGTTATCGGTCATGCGACGATCTGATCAAATCCAGAGATCGAATTACGCGACACGCGTCATGATTAAATTTAAACACAAATTTTTGATTAATTAAACTCGTGATACATTTCTCTTTATGAAAATTTTCATAACTTTCATCTGCATATTTATATAATATTTCCTAGTTATTTTCGTAAAATGCATTTGCTACTTGAATGTGCTAACGCTCTGAAGTACTGTGTAAGACGCATTGTGAGTGATTTCTCGTGACAATGATTTCATAGGTAACCTGTTTGTAATATATAGCCTTTTGGAAGAACACAGATAATCCTTCGCTCAAAAGCTTTTTAGAATTCTGAGTTCACATTGGTGATTTGAAAGTTCCAGAAACGGAGCACCGTCGATACAAACTTGAATTGAATAATATTATTACATACTACCGAAATCGGAAAGAAGGCACTGAAATGGAAAGAAAGTTTTAGGGTAAGTATACCTGTTTTATTTATTTGGACTGTTTTCATAGACTATTTTGTGAGTTGCTTTCTCGCACGGACACCTTATGAGTTGCCTTCTCGTCCGTAATAGTCTTCGGATTGCTTATTCGCGACAAAAGCTTGCTTGCTTGTCTGTGGCTTGATTATGCTGCATTAGTTGCATGTTGTGTTCAATTAATTTTATATTCTATTTGATTAATTCTATAATTTGCTTTTCTATAACAA